ACCACACACAGTTTCATCTCCACTGAATTTTTAATGAGCAGGAATGATAATTTATTCAGTAGCTTTTTTTTTTTAGATAAAATGATGTCTTTTCTTAATGATTTTACTCCTTCTGGTTTAGTTAGCTTGCTGCTTTCCCCTGCCTATATTTTCAGTGCAACATGCAGGAGTTCAGACACACTGTGCCTATGTTTAAACACTTTTAAATCACCTTATTTGTGAAGCACGATCAGCATCAGAGAGGCAATGAAGAAAGGCATGGTCCTCTAGGTGGCAATTTAGATCTTCAAGGGCTGAGCTGTCCTCCTGACACCCTGCTGGCTCCGTATTGATGGACGCAGATGCAATATTGTACTCGTAGATTTGTTTGATAGAGGTGGGAGAAATGCAGGTCTGAGGGGGGGTTAAGAAGCAGCACTCAAGTGACCTCGATAGCACGGTTTTCACCTTGCCTTTGAAAGTCCCACACTGAGTTCAACTTCCTTTCTTCTCTTCTCTGCCCCAAATAAAATACCTGTGAGGTTGCTTGGGTGGCTCATATTTATCTGCAATAAATACATGCAATACCTGCTTTCTGTAGGCCAGAGGAGGACAAGGGAGGACTGTAACTGTACATCTGCTGAGCATCCAGGTTGGCAATGTGATCAATAATTAGCCTCTAGAGTTCTGCTGGCCTGCTTTTGAGCCATCAGGCATTAACAACACTTCAGTTTCACCAGGAGCATCAGTCCAGGGTGTGAGAGTGCTCCTTCTTTAGCAGAGGATTGGATTTGCCTGATCCCATGCTGCTCTGCACTTATTTGTGTGTCCCTCGTACTCAGGCCAATTTGCATTAGTGTCTGAGGGGGCAGCCAATTAGCTCCTTCTCACATAGCGTAAAATATGTCATACCTGCATCCCGGTGTAAAGTAGCAATCAGTATGGTAGGACACTGTCCCCAGGTGGCTTGGTGCAAAAATGTAGAGATAACAAAATTAAATGACATTTGTAGCTCTGAAACCTCAGATTGGGTAGGAAATGTTCTGGGATTATCCTGACTTACGACCTTTAAGTGCTCTATGCAATGACAGAATCTCTCCCTGAAAGCTCTTTAAACAGAAATTAATTTATGCCTGACAGTGATTAAAGGGGAAAGTGAGAGGAGATGGAAATTAGCAAATCCATCTCTATTGCTGAGATCCCATTATGATTATAAGAAGAGGGGAAAATCAGCATTACGGGTGTCAGCTGCAATCTGTTGCATTCATTTAGCAGCCCATCCTACCTGGGAGATGTCCTTGTCTGGATGGATATACCTGTCACGCTGGCTTGGCCTGAGATGAATCAATTGTCGAGGTGGTGGAGTAGAGATGGAAGCCATTTGGCATGGTATTAACTCCCATTTTGAGTTTAATGCAAGAACCTAAAGCGGGGTCCATCAAATAGAGTCAGATGAGAAAACTGATTTTGGAAACGTCTCTCAAAGAGATGTTGTTGGAAGCGACGTGATAACAGAAATGGAGTTGTTATTGTGGCCAGGCAAAAGGATGCACATGGGACAATCTTGTTTTTGAGATACGGATCAGACCTTGAAGATAGAGCCTGCTCTTCCTTTGACCATCACGGTAAGATACTTTGCTTGATATTTTGAGAGTGATTATAGCAGCTAGGATGTAAGTGAGCAAGTGGAAAAAGAATTTGCTTACAAAGAGAAGTTGGGCAAAATTTCAAGTGCTTGAAACTCTCAACCCAATTTGTAGTGCATGTCTCATCAAATCTCTAAGCCGCTTGAACAGAGAAAATCCTACTGACCTCAAAAATATGAAATGTCCACTACAGGAGACACTTTGGTACTGACACAAATGGGATCCTGGTTCTTTTTTCTGGTGGTAAAATAGAACCATCCTGGAAAAGGTTTTAGTAATTCCCTCTGAAAAATGCAAGAAGCAACATTGTGAGAAAAGTATTTATAAATGCATAGCTTCTGTCAGTGGGCTTGATTATTACATGCATCAGGTGCAGCTCAGAAGTGAAAAGAAGAGCTCTGATTTCTTAGGAACAAACACCTGAATTGTACCACTGGTGCTTAGGGAGACTTCCGTGCCTTAATATCACAACTGACCTGCTAATTTTGAACTAGGAGCAGTATCCCAAAACTGCAAGCAAAAGATGTGTGATGTATATGATGTAAATGGGTTTTGTATTTAGCTAAAGGCTTGTTTGAGTGTCACCATAGAATCCTTTATGTTGGAAAAACCCTCTAAGATCATCTGGTCCAACTGTACCCTAGTATTGCCGAGTTCACCGTTAGGCCATGTCACCAAGCACTACATCTGCATGTTTTTTGAAGACCTCTAGGGAGGGTGACTCAACCACTTCCCTGGGCAGCCTGTTCCAATACTTCACGACCCTCTTAGTGAAGAAATTTCTCCAAGTATCTGACCTAAACTTCCCCGATATAACTTAAGATCATTTCTTCTTGTCTTATCACTTGGTGCTTGGGAGAAAAGCCTGATCCCTACCTCAATATAGCCTCCAATAAGGTAATTGGAGAGTGCGATGAGTTCTTCCCTGAGCCTCTTCTTCTCCAGACCAAACACCCCCAGTTCCCTCAGCCATTCCTTACAGGACTTGTGCTCCAGGCCCTTTACCAGCTTCATTGCCCTTCTCTGGACATGCTCCAGGGCCTCGATGTCCTTCTTGTAATGAGGGGCCCAGAACTGAACACAGCACCTGAGGTGTGGCCTCACCAGAGCAGAGTACAGGGGCAAGATCACCTCCGTGCTCCTGCTGGCTGCACTATTCCTGATATGAGCCAGATTGCTGTTGGCTTCCTTGACCACCTTGGGCACACTGCTGGCTCGTGTGTATCTGCGAGCACTGACAAACATCCCCAGGTCCCTTTCCACCAGGCACCTTTCCAGCCTGTACTGCTGTATGGGGTTGTTGTGCCCCGAGTTCAGGACCTGGCATAATGTTGAATAAAGGAGGGGGGAAAAAAAAGGGATGACAGAACATCTTTTTTTCTCCTGTTGTTCTTCCATGGCACACCGTTTGTTTTTTTTTCCTTGAAAAATGTAACTGAGGTTGTGCAAGATGTGGAAAGTGCAATGAAACACTGTTCAGGAAGGGCCACAGAACCCATGGTTCAGCATCTGCTTGCCACTGGCTTGTGGTCTCTGCTGTTGTTGGTTTTGGGCTTTCCTGTGGACCTTGATTCCCAGTTGTGAACCAGAGACTCTTTAGAAAAGAACCAGTTAACAAAAAGGTCTCTGACCTCTTCAACAGCTTCACACACTTGTAAATACTTCTCCCATCTCCAGAAGGAACAACAAAAGCAACACTTGTTAAAGCATTGTAATATCCACTGAAGTATATAATACACCAAACAATCAAAGGCCAATTCCTCGTTCAGGCTCAGGTGCCAAAAAATGTCTGAATAAAGCACTTTCTTCCATCCCTTCTTAAGATCCACTGTTTGGAAAGATGCCTCAGCACTTCTCCAGCAAAGATTTATCCTCCTGCTCTATTCAAGGAAACAAAGTGACTTCAGCTTCTTTGTTTAACAAAATAAAATAAAATCAGACACAAACCCAACCTGGCAGGATAAAAATATATGTACATATCAAGAGAGAGGTTCTTCTGCTTTAGAGCAGGAATATGAAATTATGTTGTAAATTAAATTATAGAAAGGGAGAATAATATGAACTGAAAAAAAGATTAGTTCCAAGGCTGAGTTTCAATCATTGGCTTTCCTGGATTGTGCTGGGCCTGCGAGTCGGACTGAGCTGCCCTCAGACAGACATGGGGCCTGGCTAATTAATCTCTCCCTTCTTCTATAATGAATAGGGCCAACAAAGAGGAGCAGAAAAACAGTGAGAGCGAGGGGGGGAATGAAATCTGCTGCGGGCTGAGGCTGGAGAGAGCAGGGGAGCAATTTCAGCAGGCACGGGCTGTAGAGGGTCACGAGGAGCCTGCCTGGAGAATCCTAGGAAAGCTGGGCTGGGAAGGGGAAGCTGCAGGCTTCATCCTGGGCTAGGTGGGAGGAAAGGGACAAAGTTTGTCATCTAGACAAGGTGATTAGCATGGAATTGATAGGGAAGGGGCTGATGTGAAGGAAGATTCCCCAAATGTGTTTATAGAGGAGGAGGCAGATGGTGGAAGCCCTGTATGGAGGGGTCAGGGTCAGCCTTTGGAAGCATCTCATGGCCTCCACTGCTGCATTGGGAGGGGAAAGGGGGCCTGGCAAACCCCTGTGTAGACATTTAAACATAATTTGATGGAGTCTTTGAAGCTTTACCTGATTTCTTTTAAATACATGTTTGATTCAGTTGGATTTGAATTTCTCTGCAGAGCAAAGGGACTCCAATGAATGCTGCTGGCAGAGGGATTTGGGATGTCTAATAGAAATATCTGATTTTCAAGGAAGCTGAGCACCTCAGCTGAGATCTGCAGAGCTTTTAGCACCTAGTATGCTCTAGAAATCAGGCCAAACTCTTTCCTAGTGGGGCTGCCAGAACGGAAAGAAGAAGCAGCAAATGGATGACATTGGACTGAATTCACTGGGGCACGTCTGGCTCCCAGACAGAGCTTCCAGCACTGAGCTCAGCCCCTTGGGCTGCTCGTGAAGTTTCTCTGAAGGTACCAGTGGGCCAAGGTGCTGGTGCAAGACATGACAAGGACCAGGGTTGTGAAAAGCTGAGGCCTCTGGCTAGGTTTGTTGTTATTCTAGGGAGGAATTAAAAATACTTCTTTTCCAATGCTTTCTATGCTGGAGGGCATCCTGTGTTTGCTCCAGGCAGCAGGAATGCCTGATCAGCCCCTCTGTACGGGGTGCACCTGGGGCTCCAGCCGTGGCAGAGGGTCAGTCTGGGTAGAGATTTCTGCTTGGAAACCCATCCTGGTCCCCTTTCAGCCCTCTGCTAGCAGAGCAGGCAGGGAATCCTTTCCACAGCCTTGAATCAAAGGAAAGCTTCACCTCAGCAAGTCCTGAGCCTGTACCCCTCGTTATTTTTTCCCAGTCCTCAGTGAATGTTGATACCTGCCCAGAAACTGAAGCATCCCTTTCTTGCCGGTACCTTGGTGCTCCCTGGCTAGAGGCAGCAGCAGGACAGGCGGGGAGCAGCAGGCAGCAGCCCCAGGGAGAGTGATGAGACGGCAACTTCTTCCCCAGGGATGTGTCGGGGAAAGGGGCTGGCACCGCAGCTACATCCAGAAGAATAAAATGAAGGAAATAAATAAAGGAGGCACAGCGCGTCCTACAAACAAGAACATGTGTCTGCATTTATTAACATTTCCAACGCGGATTTAATTCTCAGCAAAGTGCTCCTGCCTACACGAAGCCCAGGCGTGTTGCAGGAAACCTCTCGTTAAGTTCCATACAAGCCATCTTTTTAGTGCATCCTCCAGGGGAATCTTCAAACAGATTCTATAATTTCACTGATAAATGGCTCTTTTGCAAAACACTATTTACATTCCAGCGTCAGAAAGGCTGGCGACTTTTCTTCCCCCCACCCCTTTCAACTGTCTCCTCCCTGTGCCTTCAGGGAGGGCTCTCTCGCCCACTCCAGGGAGGAAATAAAGCATTCGAAGGTTCCTTGGTGAAGGAGAAAGCTGATGTGCTGGATTTCTCCAGGAAGAAATGCAACCGTAGAGCAGCAGCAGTGTCTTTTTAGCTGGGATCTCTCTGGATGCTTCTGGAAATAGGGAAACATTTCAGTCCTGGAGACAAATCTGGGCATTAGGATTCAGAGGACGTATTTGTTTTTTTCTTGGCATTGCCACAGGTTTTCTGGGTGGCCTCAGGCAGGCCACTTAATCTCTTTGGGGTCTTGTTTCCATCGGTACACACGGGATGAACACAGCGACTTTATTCCATTTGTTTGTCCTGCCTATTTTGATTACAGATCCCTGGGGGCAAGGATTGTCTCTCATTAAACAAAGCAGCCTGTACATGGGGATCCCAGCTTTGGTATGGCCTCTAGGCATGCAGAGCAACAAAACAACATCTGACAGCCAGTCTAGACAGTAAAATAATGCGCCAGAGAAACACAGTTTGGTCACTGCTTCCCTGTTTCTTTATTGCTAAACTGGGGCTTTTTTGTTTTTTTGCTGGTCGCTCACCCTCTCTGCTGAGCAGCGTTTAGGAGGGGCAGAGCTCAGGATTGTTTGCCTTTAGCCACCTGCCTGGAAAAAGGAATAAAAAATAGACCCTGGCAGTTCCCCACGAGTTTCTCGTACAAGACTGAGGGGCACCCCAGGCCCCCCTGGGTGCGTTAGGTGAGCTGTAGCTGAGCCCTCAGCAAAAAGAGGCTGTGGCAGTGAGCACAAGCCTACATGTGTGTAGGCCTCAGTATGATGTGTGTTCATGAGGCACCTCCAAGTTTCTTCACCAGCATCACTTAAGTCTTTTTGTGCTGCTGTAACGCCCTGTGGTCAGTGTGGCACCAGTACGCACACTTTACAGGTAGACTAATTAGGCAGTCTGAGGATGTCTCAAGCCCCCAGTTGCTGCTGTGGAGCGCTGGCTGCGCGCCCATGTCGCCGCCATCCTGGCTGGCCCTCAGCACGGGCACGCGTCAGGGACTCACAGAAACCATCAGCTTCCCGCACAGCCGTTTGGTTTCAGTTTCAAATTTGCATTTACAGCCGCCTGAAACGAGTTCCACTTACCAGCTAATGCTCTGAAGGTGAATCAGTGCACCAGAAGAAATTTGTTTGCTGCCTGCTCTTGCTCCAGAAACAAGGCAGGCCGCATCTTCAGCCGGTCTCGGTTGGGCTCTGCAGGTTTCAGCACCAAGTTTTATTAGTTGATCCGCTCCAAGAGCATCTCAACTGTTTCGTATTAGCAACTCCTTTGCTTTGGATTATCACTGTTTTTAAACCATGTGGGGACAACACATCTTCCCCACATCAAGGGAAAGGCTGCAATTACAGACATAGAAAGCACCGGACTCTTCAGGATGGCATCACGTCCCTGGCAGAAAGTTGGTTTATTTTTAAACCGGTTCCTAAGGAAACCAAGTTTCCACAGTCATGTTCTCTGTCTCTTCGTCTGTCAGTCCTTCCCGAGTAACTTTTATATAAATTAGGCAGTTTCAACCACATTTTACATGGTAGGAGAGGAAAGAGTTATGAAACTCCAGCCTGTCTTGTGAAGCTGGCAGTGGGAAGAGCCTGACACTAGTGCTGCTCTGGGCTGACATGTCACTTCAGCAGTTACCAGCTCAGTCTGGCTGCCATTTAGTAATGAACTTTCAGCCCTGTCAGTGCCGAAAAGTCACCAGGACCTGGGGTAATTTGGAGTCGGTAGTGGGGAGCCTGGGTTACCAGGCTGTGGGAAGAAAAGGAGATTTGGCTTTCTTCCCAGTGCTGCTGGAAAAAATGGATTTACTGGGTAGATCACAAAGGAACTTAAAATCCTGACCAAGATTTGTGCTCAGATACGACAGCTTCTGCCTTTTTTCCCAAGTGCTCAGAACCCAAATGAGAGCTCTGCATGTGGGTGAAATCTTTCTCATGAGAAGATCCCATGACACCGAGGCATCACAGCGTGTGTCGTTCTGAGAAAGTTTCCAGCCGAGGGGCAGCTCAGGGTTTTGGTAAGAGTAGCAAATCACTCCTAACTGGAGAAAAAACAACTTAACAAGGGAATTCAACCCTTTTCTTCCAAAACAAGGGCTTTCAGCCTTGCTCCATGTCATGAAATACGATGGCAGTGTTTAGCTTTAGTTCCAGTGCAAAGAAACACCAGGTGTTTGGCATCCTGAACGAAGCTGTGAAATTGTATCCCTGTTCTCTAGACTTCTTTGCAGAGCAGAGGGGAAAGCGAGCAGGACCATGGGCTGGCACAGGGGAGAGATGTGAGCTGGTGGGAGGAGGAAGGGGCAGAGGAGCTGCATTGCTTGCTGCACGTTTTACTGTGCCAGCCCTGTCGCAGGGACTGCCCGTAGGGAGGAATCCGTGAGCCTCATCCTACTGCAACAGCAGAGCTTGCTCTGGATGGACTCTCCCTCCACCCTCACAGCCAGCTTGAGAAACCTTCTCTTTCCTGTCCATTAGTCTCAGTTTGTCGCTCCCCTGACCAGAGTGGAAGGATGTGTTCGCCATGAGCGAGCTCAGGACAGCTGTGCTGTTTGCCTTTCAGGTCAACTGCTTGTTCCCGGGGGGGAGAGAAGCAGGGGGTCATCCTGGCAGGAGCCGGAGCCTGATCATTATCTGTTAATGGGGAAGTCAATTAAAAGGCTGCCATTGCAGAACGTTTTCTGATGACTCTAATTATCCAATAATTGTATTATCTCATTCAGTGGTGCGACACGGCACGAGGCCCACGAAATGATGTGGGTGCTTTGAGTCTGCAAAGGGCACCCCGCTGCCTACAGCTGCTGGTGGGTTTCCGTGTGGCCCACCAGGGCTGAGCGGGCATGGGGATCCCTTTGTATCACAGGAACAAGGCAGTAAGCAGTGTACATTCCTCCCAAAATTCATTCTTCCATCCCGAAGCCATCAGCTTTTATGTGGACCATAAAGCTGCCTGTAGCCTGCCCTTGCTCTGAATGTTTTATTTGGTGTCTTGAGGGTCGTTCCTCCACGTTGATAGCATCAGGAGCAGGAGACAACTCCAGAGCTGTTGTGGTGCCCCACCTTGTGTATCTATAGAAAAATAATGACCTTCAGAGCCTCTCTGATGCTGCTGCTCACACCCTGCCATGTCCTGAGCTTGCCCAGCCCTGGCCATGCTGGGACCCAGCTCCTGCCTGGCACCAAGCTCTTCTGGTGCTGGCAATGTGGGCAGATCTCTTCTGAGGTTGATTAAAATAATAATAATAAAAGCATCAGGCCTGCTCCAGATATGTTGTGTGCTTTAACTAAAATTGTGGCCAAGGAAGAAAACAGCTTCACCCCGTCCCTTTTAGCCAGTAGTTCAATAATTGCAGCATCTTCTGATATACAGAAGACTGGGTTCAGTTATTGCTTTTCCTGTGGGAAGTCAGGTAAGTCTCCTGCACTTCCCAGGATAACGTCCTACCAAGGAATAGCAGCAGGAGAAGGGTTTTTTTTGTTGCATCATTAGGGAAAGAAAGAGGGGAGCAGTTCACTGGCTACCCTCAGGGCCTCATGGCACCAGTTTCTGCAGGTCTCACTGAGACTGGGTTCATCAGCAGCATGGCAGTAAGACAAGAGGGACACAGAGTGCAAGGCCGTGGTGTGGTTGAACCTGTGGGAAGCAAGATGCACCTGGCTGTAAGGATTAGTTTTCCTTTTCACATTAAACACTCTTGAAGGAAATGTATGTCCCCCTTTGGGATGCATCACCCAGGCTTCCACTTGCAATGCTATGAACAGAAGGAAGGACCCTCCCCGGGCTGTTCTTGGAGGAAAGAAGCCTCCGAACTGTGAAGGGAGGAAGGTGTTTCCTTGCAGCTCAGGCTAAAGCTTGGGATTTCAAATCCACCTCCATGCTGGTTACTACTTCCCAGCTAGCAGGGCTTCTCTACTGACACAGCGAAACAGGTGTAGGGCAGGAGTTAGGAGGCAGGAGACCTGGTGGTTTCCTCAGCACTTGCCATTTCTCTTGTTTATCTTCCATCCTTTGCTAGCACCACATTAGCCAGTGTAGTGGCTTTGCCTGCCTTTTTGTGATAGGAATGTCTATTCCAAATGCTAAAGGTTGTGGATTCCAAAGGAATCTTGCTCCATGTAGACACAGGGCCAGTGTCAGGCAAGTGCTCATGGAGAGGCTGCAGGAGCTGAGCTGCTCTGCAGTGTCAGGGTGCCGAGATGAGGGAGCTGAAGCAGCCTGGACATTGTACTGTGCCGTGTTGTGCTGTGCCTTTCTATGCCATGCTGTGCCATGCCGTGCCACCTCCCAGCAGCCCACCCCTTCCCAGCCAACAATTCCCTTCCAGTGGCCGCCTCAACCCTAACTTTGTATCTGTTAAACCTCAGGTAATTGCTTTTAGATGGGTGTAATTAAGAAGCCATTAGTGTAAAGTTTCATTTCAGTTTATGCTTTGGTCTCCATTTGAGCAGAGAAATATGAAATTAAGGTATTAGCTCCTTTCAGAGAGATGAGTCATGAGCTAATAAGTTTCAAGAGCTGTTTCTCAGCTGTAATGATTCTGCTTTTCTCTTTCCAAATCTTCTCCTCCTAAATTCTTGTTTCTGGAGAATTAATTTTTTTAAAAAATAAAAGGGGGAGGGAAGACGTGGAGTGAGGGATCACTACCATGCTGGCAGCTGGAGAGACAGCAGCATTTCCCTGTGGAATCTCCCTGCCACAGCCGGGGATGCACGTGGGGGCAGCACGTAGGCAGGGGTGTGACATACCAGGTGTGCAGGGGACACGGGGCACGCACCATGCAGGGTCAACCTCTGCTTTTGACTGGGAAGGAGGGAAGCAATGAGTGGCCAAAATGTCCAAGGAGAGACCAGGGAAGGTGTCTGGGCTTTCTGAAGTAGAATA